TTAATAACAATAATACCCTGAGACAGAAATCACCAAAGAGTGTTTTTAAGTGTTAAATAAATGGTAAGAAGGGTATTAGGTAAATATATTAAGATTTAACGACAATTATTGCTTATGAAAAAAATCTAAGAAGTTTTAAAGGGTAACTAATAATAAGAGAATTTTTGTTATTTCTAAGATGTTATAACATGAAAAATACAATAAAACATGTTAAAAATTAGTGAAAACATCCCATCGACAAGTAAAATTCTACTTGATTTCTAAAACAAAAACATATTTGTATAATCGAGTCAAAAATTCTAAAAGAAAATAACTTAAGAGAAGAATAAAGTGACAATGATAAATAAATGATTGAGTGATTCAATAGGATTCTTAAACGTATTATTTAAGAGATTATGAATTCGATTTTCTTCTTGAATATTAATAAGACTAACCACTAAAACCCTTATTCAATTGATAGTTTTAAAATTCTAAAAAAATAATTTAAATATCGTAAATTGTGATGCCGATAATGGAGGGTCAAAATATATTATATATATATATAATGACAACAAAAGTTTCACTTGTTTATTTAATTAGTCAAAAATGGAGGCACTGGCAAGGCAACCGACCAAGTGAAACTCATGGCCAAATTCATCTGCTCACATATTACTGTTTTTACACGTGGCAATATCACAGCCATATATCCCCGAGAATGGGGAACATGATATTCGGCTGTATTGTCGGTTGTCTTTAATTATTGGCCATGTAACGACGCATTACTGCGTGTTTAATCACACGTGGCTTTCTTTTATTGGTTGGTGTCTTTAACGTGTGGGGTGGGCCGGTGGGGCGGTTCGCCAAATTTCGCTTTTGTCTTCTGGCTTCACTAAAAGGTAAAAACTTGATTTATTATTATTATACAAAAATATATCAAAAAAAAAAAATTAACCATTAATATTTGAAAATAATAATTTCAAATGTTTAATTAATATCTCCATCTGATTCACAGATGGCGTTAAATTTGTACCAAATAATTTCAATTATTGCCAACAAATCAAATTATTAGATGACAGTAATTGGGATTATCTGCAATAATTATTCTAATTAATTATTACATGATGTTCTCTTAATTTCAACAATCTAATATCTTAATTAATCGACAAATTAATTATCTAACTAACATTCCCTTAATATCGAATTAAATTAATAAATAAAATTGGGTACATCATTTTTAGGCAGGCAAAGGGTAGTGATTGCAACATGCTTGACTAATTTGACGGTTTTAAAATTGGTAAGATTGAGGAATATTGGCAAATTATTCTTTCTATGATTTTTTGTTCTAGTACATATAAATGGGTTGCATTTAACATATGGATTAGTTCAATGTATTATCATACTACTATACCATGCCAATATATAGTTTCTTTCCCTTTCGATTACCGAATGTGACGTAAGAGACATCAATTAGGGGTATTTTAGGTTTTATTTTGTGTGTTGTAACTTGTTTTGTAATCACTAATAGTTATATGTAAAATCTATCAGAGTGCTTTTGTTCAATCTTAAATTACTTTACTTTTATGTAACGAGATAACAAATAATATTTTAAGGCTTTTTTTTATTATTATTATTAAAATTGATTTCTTAAATAAAAAAAAAAAAACTACCGACAAAGCCGCCGGTAATTGCCAACAATTGATAGATAGTAATATATTTGATATGTCGACAATTTAACGAAATCAAGTAGATTAAACCACAACGAATCGAAAAAGTTGCTTAAAGGTATTCTCTAAACAAAAACCAACATCTTGATAGATCTTTGTCCCGATCTCGTGATGCCCGTGGTGCATTTCACTCCCTTAAGGTTCAACATGACTTTGTTGACCAGTTTAGTCCATTATATTTTGATGAATTTAGTTGTCCTAGACCTATTTCATTTATTCCAAACTTAGTTTTCAAGTATAAGTTGATTTTTTTTTTGAAAGAAAGTCGAACAAATCTTTCCTCCAACGTTCAAAACGGGGCATGATTAGGATTTGCCCGTTGGAAGCAAAGCCACCACAAAACAAGAAAAATAAATGCTAATGCTTTGTCAATCTTTTATTCTCCCTCTTAGACTTTCAAAAACTTTTAAAGCTTCATATTTTCCTTTAATCAATCAACAAACTTTCTCTCTTTTTCCACAATCCAACACAAACCCAAAGTTGAAGGTTGGATTCCTCTAGCTTATAGTAAGTAAAAATAATAATATATTAAGTTGGTTAATAAGACAAAATTATGTAACGTCTAGTTAAGTTAAGTGGGTTATTAGCAGATTAATACTATGTTAAATATAAAACAAGTTGGATATATTTAATTAATTGAATTGGGCATACATGAGCCAAATAGAAGGTTAAAATTGAAAGTGGGGGGGCATGGATGGATTCCTCTGAATTGGCAACTTTTAGGTTGAAATGAGTGTTAAAAGTGGATTAATTGGTGAAAGGACAAAATGTACTGTGGTGTGGGTCAGTTTGGTGGCTACCATGTGATTGATTCGTGGCTGACCGACCGACCAACACAAAATGGTCCTCCTTATATGGGACCAAATGATTTGCAATAAATTCATTTTAGCAAATATATTTAAATAACCAAATTACTGGTTCTGTATTTGAATCAGGTTTATTAAGACATGATTATAAAAAAGATAATGCCTTGTACTTGTTTTAGAAAATCAAGAGATTCTGGATGAATTGGATCAGGTGGGAAGAAAGTGGAATTGTTAATCAAACCCAAAAACTTTTAAAATATCATAACTTTCTATGATCTTTAAAATGAGTTGTATCAAGACTGAATCATTTATGTTTTTCATGAAAGGAATCAAACTAAGATTTACTTCATTTTTGTCTTTGCATTATCATATCACACAATTTTTATTTTATTAATTAAAAAAATTCAATTTAATAAATATTACTGCTGGCTTTGGAAAATATTGACAGGGTCCATCACTCCGGACAATAACACTATTTTTTGTGACAGGTAATCAAGTTTTCGTAGAAAACACCTTCTTTTTTCCTTTCTCAGTAATAACTGCAAAATCCAAAACCCTTTTGTTTTTTTTACTGTTCACTTTGAAAAATGACAATTCATCAGAATCTTTAATGCCACGGAGAGGATGACGACGCTGACGTCATCTCGTCCTCTTTTTTGTCCAATAAGAAACTACCGGCTGTTCATCCGGTCCCACAAACTGAACTCGTACCACAAAAAAACGACACGTACACATGCATTCACTGTAAAGTAACCAAAGGGGCTGGATGGGTGATTCGAACGAGTGAATGAGACGAGGGCACGTGGAGTATGGGTTATATAAAATTATAAACTCTAAAAGCGGGTCAATTTTTAGTTAGCTGGTTCAGAAGTCGAAATGTGGGGTGCGGTTTATGAGACTGTGAACAGTGAGCCAGAGGGGGTTCATTAATGTGGTGGTACGGGCTCGTGGGTCTGAGCCCTGAACTGAACTGAACGATCTTTTGTGTTTTTGTTTTGACCGGTGGGTTCGACCGTGGGCTAATTGTTCACGTGCTTGTCACGGGTGCATGTATTTTTTTATTTTTTGATTATTCAAAATTAAGAGTCAATTATCGTTGAAAATAAAGTAATTAATTCTGTAGGGACAACATATTGACGGTAGAAAAGAGAGAGCCGTTGTGAGAGGTCAGGCCGCTTCAACGCTTTTTGAAGTAGAAGCATCACATGAAAATTTATGAGGGTTTAGGTATTTCTCACGTTATTTATACAATAATAATAATTTTTTTTTTAAATTTTATGTTATTAACCTTGAATTGATATGTGAATTATATTATAATGAATATGTAAGATTTATTTCTTAGAAACTATAAATTAAAATTAATTTAAGATATTTATATTAATTTTTTTTTTGATAATCGGAGTATCTGAGTCAGTTTGTATGGACCTCAACTAATCTTCACTCTATAAACCCAATGTTTCAGATAAACTACAAATATGATAGATGACCCCAAGCGGGTTTGAACTTAGGAAATCAATAAAAGAACCAGACTAGTTTACGTGCACCTCAGTAAATCTTTTGGGACCCTGAAGTTGACAGTCTAATAAATCCATCAGTAGCCACCCATATTAGAAACTCATTGAATCAAACTTAGGACCTCTTAAGTAATACACTCAAAAGTCTTAATTAACCGTTGGACCGTATTTGTTGGTTGACATATATTCATTGCTCCCCATTTTAAATTACTAAAATTGAATAAACATTTATAGTTCTTATTTTCATGTGTGTTTTAAAAAAATAATTGAATATACATAATTGATTTGGACCCTAATGTAACATGACAATAGCCAAAAAGGGAAGTTCTTGAAAAACAGATTAAAATATTATGATTTAAGTACAAAAGAAAATCCATTCTAGAAAAAACAATAATATATTTTTGTTTCAGAAACTTAAACTTCCTTGGAAGTAAAAAAATAAAACAAATTGAAGCATCTTTAATTTGTCTTGAAAGTTAAAAAAAAAAAAGAGGGTTAGAAATGTGTGGGCAGAAAAGTAGAAAACGAAAACATGAAAACATATTGGGAGTTGCCAGGTGATGCTTAGTGTAGTTAAAGTCAGGTGTAGGGTCGATGAAAGTGAAACCTAACAAATTTTTTTAATCTTACATTCTGCACCCTACTATTTTTTTTCATTTTTACTAAACAAGATAAATATTTTTAATCTCTTTTTTTATAAAGTATATTTTAGCATTTGTTTGATTATTAATTCGGAAATTTTTAAAACTAAAATGACATTCAAATTTTTTTTTAATTATATTTTAATATTTTTAACATACGAAAATTTGCCAAAAGAAAGTTTATAGTATGAGTAAAAAAAAAAATTCTTTTTCCTCTAATTTTTTTTACAATAACTTATTACCAATAAAGTTTATATTATGAGCCAAAAAAAAAAAAAAAGTAACACGAAACTCCCCGGTATCATCCATTTCTCTCCATATATACCCCTCACTTCTCTTCATTTATCTCACACCAAAGCACTCTCCATAGCCAAACTCTCTCTCTCAAACTCTTTCAATCTTTGTTTCAATTTTGTTTCTGCAAAATTAATCCATGGCGAAAGACTCAGAGCATGGCTCATACTCAGCCAAGGACTACACAGACCCACCTCCAGCTCCTTTCTTCGACTCAGTCGAGCTCACCAAGTGGTCTTTCTACAGAGCTTTAATCGCCGAGTTCATCGCCACTTTGCTCTTCCTCTACATCACCGTTCTGACTGTCATCGGCTATAAGAGCCAGATTGACCACGCTGACCCATGCGGTGGCGTCGGCATTCTCGGTATCGCTTGGGCCTTCGGTGGCATGATCTTCGTTCTCGTTTACTGCACCGCCGGTATCTCCGGTAAGTCCTCCACAGCCACATCAAACTTCACTCAAGACTTACAAAAGTTTTAGTCTTTTCTTCATTTACATAACAAGTTACAATCTTTTACACATGAAACAATGCAGGGGGTCATATTAACCCGGCGGTGACGTTCGGGCTGTTTTTGGCACGGAAGGTGTCGCTGGTGAGGGCGGTGATGTACATGGTGGCTCAGTGTTTGGGAGCCATTTGCGGAGTTGCGTTAGTGAAGGCTTTCCAGAGCTCGCACTACAAGAGATATGGCGGTGGAGCCAACGAGCTTGCTGATGGCTACAGCACCCGCGTCGGTTTAGGGGCCGAGATCATCGGAACTTTTGTCTTGGTTTACACTGTTTTCTCTGCAACTGATCCCAAGAGAAGTGCCCGAGACTCCCATGTCCCTGTAAGCATTCTAAAATTTATTTCTTTATGTTATCAATTTTTTTTTTTTAAATTTGTTTTCTTTTTGGATAATTTTACTGCCTTGAGTTTTGAGCATTGAGCGCTGTGATACACATGTTCTTTGATAACATTAATATGTTCTTTGAGATTTTACGTTAATGTGTCTTTTTCTTAGAAAAATAAATGCAAGATCAGATCTTACATTTATTACAAATCCCCTGCTGTTTTAATTTTATGACAAAGATCTTCTGGTCCTGATCTAATCTTCTGTAAAACTCCAAGAAAAGAGGATAATTTTTTTTTGAAAATATATATTTTATTATGTCAGATAGATAATCTTAGTTTAAGTTAGATTAATTGGAAGGGTGTTGATGGTTAATCCCCAACCAAAGGGTAATTTGTTTTATAAATAAGAAGGCATAGGAGAAGAGAATTAATAAAAAAAATTTTAGGAACATGTTATGTTTAATTAAAAATATTAAAAGTTTAATTTTTTTGTTACACAAAAAATACTTCATGAGGTGGGAATTGTTTCCTTTTTCTCACTAAAATGGTTCTTCAGATAATAAAGTTGAAAGGGTAACATGCCTGATTCTGTGGTGGAAAACAAAGGGCTAGCTGAAATATGCATGGGGACCATTTTTTTAATCATGTTTTCTTTCTTCCTCTCTAAATCGAAAGTGGGGATTCTTTTCCTTTTTTCAAGTTTGCATTTCCTTTCTTTATCCATCTTCAGCTCCGCTTTGGAGTCTAGTGGGTGGTGGGGCTCTCCAGTTTTGAAAAAAAAAAAAAAAAAGAAAGAAAAAAATTTACTTGTTTAATGTGTTTTCTCAAAGATGGTGTCGTTCTGGGAATTTCGTGAGACTTTAAACAACTTCTTCTGTGATGATCTCACGTGTCTAAGACGGCAGTTTATCTCTTCTTTATTCCTCTTTTATCGTTTTCTCTGGATCACATCATAATGTCATATCACCATAATTAATATGTAATTGACGAAGAAATATGGGTTTCACGTGTTCTTTGGGATTCGGTCTTTCACGAGTGTATAGTGCCAAATTTTGTTGGGTTTGTCTTTAACCAAAGTTTTGGGGGGTGAAATAATTTGTGTTTCATTTCAGGTTTTGGCACCACTCCCAATTGGCTTTGCCGTGTTCATGGTTCATTTGGCCACCATTCCGATCACCGGCACCGGCATCAACCCTGCTAGGAGTCTTGGAGCAGCTGTTATTTACAACGAGGACAAGGCTTGGGATGATCAAGTAATTAATCAAATATGTCAATGACTTAATTTTTTTATTTTTTTCATTGTTTAGCCAAAAGATTGTTACTGATGTTATGTTTTTCTATTGGTTTCAGTGGATCTTCTGGGTTGGACCCTTCATTGGCGCAGCCATCGCCGCCTTCTACCACCAGTTCATCTTGAGAGCGGGAGCTGTCAAGGCTCTTAGTTCATTCAGGAGCCAAACCCACGTCTGAGTAGTTTTAACTTAAAAGATTGCCTTCTTCATGTATTCATTGGATCAAAAAAAGATTGGAAGAAGAAGGCTCTAACGAGTGAATAATGAGGGAAGTGTTTGTGCTTTTGTATGGTGGAATTCCCTGTATTTGTGTGCTCAAACCTGGGGGCTTGGGATCATGGTATTGTAGATAAAAAAAAGTCTCTCTTTATTATTAATAGGGGCTTTTTTTTTTTTAACATCCCTTTTGTACTTTTAAGCACCCCTGCCTTAGAATTCACTTCAGTGTTGTCTTTTCTACTACTTTCTATGTGATTATGCTTTAAGAAAAAGGTTTCACGAAGTGAGTATTTGCTTATTTACTTGTTCATCTCATTTAGTACTTAGCTTAAATTTATGATAATTAACTCTCCACGATTCAATTATCATTTTTCCATAGAAACTGAACTTGCAATTATGATCATGCAAAGATAAAAGTCTAATTAAGCATTCAAGCTTTCATTATTTCATCTCCTTCAGTCCTCATCACAGGATTAGAAAGAAAGGAGATGGAAATGGGTCTGTTGCATTCATTACTAAATCTGAACCTTTGATGAGAAGGGGTCAATTAGATGCTTCATGAGTTAATATTATCAACTCTGCCATACTGTGGACCAAAAAATTAGTAGTTTTTGAAGGATTAATATAGCTACGATCAGGACACTCTCGATTATATATATATATATATTGATTAGACTTGTCGTTTGTCTTAATAAGATTTAGGATTCTTAGTGGCACGCCAAAGGTTGTTTCCTGTTGTAAAAAACTTGCAGGATTTGATAAGGACTCCAATTTCAAAGTAAGTTTGCCAATGCAACCATGAGAATTAGTGGATTATAAATACAATAATGTTATATTTACTCACGATCTTACTAACCATCTTATTATCCTTTTTTAAAATTATATATAGTACCCATACTATATTTATAGTATCCGTACTATGCTTTATATTTACAAATGATAGTGAGATGGTTAGTAAGATCGTAAGTAAGCATAACATTATTGTTATAAATAAAGATTAAACCAAAAAAAAAAAAAATGACTTAACAGTTAACACCATCTCTTATGCTTCATTACTTGCTTCTCTCAACTCTTCTGCGCTCTAAAATGCTAGCCTTTGAGTTTCCTTCAATGGTGACTTCTTATCTAGTTATCTTCTTTGTATTTTTTTTTTCAGTACTTCATTATTGCTGGACAGAAAAGCGCTTCTTCAAGTTTCAACAAGCTCTTATAGCTGGAGGCTGAATAAGCATATGACAGTGTAGCCACAAATGGGCAATTGATTGCCAAGAGATGAGCCGAATAGCAGAGTTATCGAGAAGAGTCCAACAATATGTATCAAGTTTTGGTACATTGTTTCTGTCCATTATAATAATTATACAGCTTGTGATGGAGACAATACAGCTTGTATACATCTTTAACATAACTTTCTTTGGTAGGTAGCACAGTATGGGGTAAGATTGATTAGATTTGATTGTACTGTGTCGTATTGGGTTTTCACTTAATAACCTTAACTTTTAACATTTGAACAGAAGGGTGATGAACATTCGAAGATCTTTAAATGGATTTTCTCGAGGTTGAGTGACGAATTTGATTGTTTGTCTTGATAGAAAATGACAGAAAGTTGTGGAATTTTATAAGAGAATACTGGATTTGTCTACTAAGGGGAAGAGTTCATACAGTTTCTCATGTTCAGTTGTTGTTCACTCTTTTCAAGGGCTATGGCCCAAGAAGATATCCTTAATGGATTTCTTTTTGGGCTTGAGCCCATTTTATTTGGCCCAAAGTCCTTCAACAAAATCCAATTCCTGCAGGTGAACTTCAATATTAGAATTTAAAAATGAAAATAGGTGATTATTTACGGGTTAAGAGTAGAAATATAAACCTCAACATTACGATATATCACAAGATCAAAATGCTCTAAATTGGGTGGTAAGGAAAGGTTTGGATAAATCAGGTTTTTGAGTCATACTTAACACTCAAAGTGATGCAGATTATGACTTTAGAATTTAATTTTTTTTTTTTCCTCTTTTTGACTGAGGGTGTTCGGACTAGTTTATGCATACCTCAACTAATCCTTTACGGTTTTGAAGTGAATGATCGGATAAATTCTTTCAATGGTCACCTTTATTAGTGCTTAGAGAGACTCGAACTCACAAACTCATATTAGACTCATTTGCTATTTTACCATCAGGTCACCCAATGGTAATTATTTAATAGGCTCATTGCTTAACTCTAGCCTAATTAAACAAATCTTTATTGACAAATAATACAAACTTGGACTTATATTAGAGATGCTCAACCAAAAAAATTAACAAAATTAATAAAAATACCCCCTAGGTTTGTTAATTTGCTAAACACCCCTGTAATAAAAAATTAACAAAAAACACTCCCACCCACCCATTAAATATCGGCATCCGGCCACCATCGTCGGAGGGTGGCTTGAGTCTCTGTATTGGCGTACGACCTGCTAGATCTGGTCGGTCGTGTGTTGATATGGTCTTTTCCAGCCAGATCTACCATGGATCTGGCCGAAAATATGGCTAGATGTAGCCATTGATAGCCAGATCTAGTCGTCAACAACGGTAAAAAATATGGATGTCATTGCCTTTTCCAGCCAGATCCACGGTGGATCTGGCTAGAAAAGGCTAGATTGGCGCACTACTAGTCAGAGCCAGCTGATAGTGCGCCATTATACTAGATTTCGGTCACTTGCTGACGTTGATGGCCAGAGTCTGGCAAATATGGGTGGGTGGGGGTTGTTTTTGTCAATTTCTAAATTTTTTTTTTTTTTGGTGTTTAGTTAAAATAATTAAATAAAATAAAATAGGATTTTCTGAATAGAGAAATAAATATGTATTTTGAGTAGGATAGTGAAAAATAATTAAACAAATGGACCCTAAAATACCACTGTAGTATCCCATCATCTATTCCACCAATAAATGAAATTTTATTATTATTTTTTTTTCATCTATCTTTATATTAAATATGATCGGTAGTTTTTAAATGCAATAATTATTTATTGTACATGTATTAACTTATGATACAACGCCAATAATACTACCGTGTGATAGCATAAACTTTCTGGATGATCCTATTTCCTTAATGTCACGATTCCTTCTACTGCTAAGGAACCCAACTCATAACTCTCACTGTATCCACCTAAAACAACATGATGATTAAACTAAATGTCCTAAACTTCCATCATTTTGTTTTAAGTACTTTTGGCGAAAAACTTTACTCCATGTAGAAATTTTCATGTTAAAGTTCATCATTGTGGAAGCACACCATTGATGAGAAACATGAACCCTGTATATACGGTTGTATTAATCTGGGAGTATCCTTATAGCGTGCAGCGAAGTGATGAATTCTTGGCTGTTTTATTGTCGTTTAGCTGTAGCTAGTTGGTTGACCATGTGCACAGCGCTAAGCCGTAACAAGTTGCGGCCGACGTTCACACCTAGGAAGAAACTTTCTCCTTCATGAGGATGGATTTACCAATTTTCCATTGTTTAATTTCATACCATGATAATGAAACAGAAAGGCTTCTTGTTAGTGTTGAAACCACAGCCAAAACAGACAATAATAAAAGTAACAAAATACTTATAGAAAAACAATTTCTTGGTGTTAAAACTACAGCTAAAACACACAATAATAAAAGTAAAAAAGTAACAAAAGACAATCAATTTATCCCAATTCGTTTCAATAAAAGAATTACGTTCAGTATTCAAATAGATTATTTTATTGAGTTTTAAAAATCTAAAAAATACTATAATCTTAAAGTATCGGATTATCGACACTCGATAATACATTCTTGCTGTCTATTTTTTACTATTACAAAATACATATATAGAAAACCTAACTCCATTTGAGCTTACACGACCTAATTTGACCCAACCAAAACATTTGCAAATTAATTCTAAACTCTCGTAAACCGATAATTCATCAAGGCCATGCGAAGCATGAAGCACATCCAACACTTGGTTGATCACCAGGCCAAGCAGCTGTAACTATCTCTTTGATTTTAATGTCCCGCCAGCCTTCTGGAAATCTCCGCCAATTTGCATGAAATAAAGAGAAACGAAATTAAAAAAATGATGAAAAACAGAAGAACTTTGATCCAACTTACCTTCATTGTACGAAACTGTCTAGAAAAATCTTCAATGCAAACCACCGCTCGCATAATTAAACTTCGAGATAAACCAGCTAGCAGTAGCAACGAATTACGATCCTGCATAAATTTTGATTCTCTCTGATTATAAAAAAGCAGCTTCCTGGCATGCACTTCTTGATCTCATTCATAGCTATGTCCTTCTCCATCATCAACTTGTAATTCCTTTGGAACTGCTAGTTTCTGTAACTATAAAAAAACGAAGTAGTTGTTTGATGATTGTGTGTTGTGGGGGTGCGCAGAAACAGTAGTTCCAAATGCATTAGAAGAAGGAGGATGATGGAGAAGAGATCAACTATGATGAGCTCAAGAATAATTCATGCGAAGAATATATTTTGTAGAGCTATGGAGAAGGGTTTGTATTTATAGTTTCTCATAAAATTGAATCAACAAAATAAATCTGTATCAGTACCCTTTTTGATTTCAGACCAAGTGCAATGTATTTTACTAAATTAATTATCAAATACAGTACAAGTTACTCATTAATTATTTCTATTTTCATTAATTAAACCCCAAATTTAATTTATTAAATAAAACCTCTAATAACACAAGTAATGTAATCTTAGTACTCAAATTTGATTGGCCGGCCTAAAAATATGACTCTCGGTGATTTGGACAATTCGTCGGAGTGGCCCGACCCGATAACAACATTCTGAAATCATAAGCGACATTGATTGATTACGACAAATATCAATTAAGAACCAGCCACGGTGTCGTTTCCTTAGGAATGGGCGCGCCCTGGCTTGGCTCGTCTCTCAACTGACACACCATCCATTTACTACACAACCCTCACTCTTCATATAATCTCTATAGAATTTTTTTTTTTTGGTTTCTTCTTGTTGTTGTTGAATTTTGGGTTAACGGAAATGCATCTATGGCCGACCGTAAGGATCCGAGGTCTTTCAAGATATCATACTTAAGGAAACTGGAATGGAACCTCAACAGAATGGACAGCGAGAAGAAACGACGCCTCTCAAGACCACCCTCTCTTGCTGGATAACAATCAAAACGCTCGTTTCTGAACCCCAGATGAAAATTCTCCTTCTGGGTTTGTTTCTATTTGTAAAGAGATACTTATGGTTGCCTCTTGCTGTTTCTGCTGCTTCTGCTGTGGAGGTAACTTTATTTTTATT